GAGAAGGCCCGCCCCTTCGTGCATTCCCGCCTTGGGCGCGCCGCCGACACTGGCCAACCAGAGCCTTTCCGTCCACGGCGTCGAAGCGGCCAGAAAGGTTCTTGTACGGATGGCGGTAGAAAGATACCGCGCAACATCGCTTTCCGAAAGCACGCTATCCCTGTGAAGTGATCCCCTCGCGAGGGACCCTTGAATGGACGCCATTGCCCTGTCAAGGCCTTGTCGATGCCCGCGATCCTCCAGGTGAGGGTGGCGTTAGAAAACCCAAGGTTCGCTGGGGACCGGTTTCCCCACCAAAACGACGACAACCCTCCCCAACCCCCCCCGAAGCCATTCAAAAACCATCCTGGAACCCTGCCCGAGGGTGTTCCGAGGGTCTCGGGAGGGCTTCGGTTACTTGGACAGGCAACCGATCCCTAGCGAATCCTGGACTTTAAGGATAGCGTGTAATATCGGCGGTGGACAACCCTCCCTTTCGTAAACCTACCCTTGGTGAAAACGGCCTGGGACCGAAACCGACGGACCTGGACCCGCAAAAATGACGGCCGCGACGCCCTCTCGCGAACCGAAAACGGCCGATTCCTCAGTCGACGTGTCAGGGTAGGTCTGTCCACCCCCGATAATGACTACCTACCAGACCACCCCAACCCAACCCGAAGACCCGAATTTCGGGTTGGGGGGGGTACGGGTTTCATATGTGTTTTCTCGATGTTCCCCGACCCCCCCCCCGCTGGAAATCGAGGGTAAATCGGAGCCTTCGGGTTGGGTTGGGGTGGTTTGGTGGGTGGTGAGATCATTTGGACAGGAAACCGATCCCTAGCGAACCCTGGACTTCAAGGACAGCGTGTAGTAGTGGGACAGGCGGCGCCACGTCGCACGCCACCTTCCAGGAGGAAAGGTCTAGCATCGAATCGACGACACGAGCCGGCGATCGAGCTGCACCGGGTCGGCGGACAGCGGCTGCCGAGCCGGGGAGAAAGCCGAATCTCGGCGGAACTCGGCAGGCCAGTGGGCCTCCAGGGAGACATCGAAGACCAGGTCGGAATCCGAAGTCGAACAGCATCGGAGTCGGATGCCATCGACCTCGAATCGAGCCGAATCGGAGGAGTCGAACGAGCCCCGTCTTTCGGGAGCCCACAAAAGACATACGAGCCCCCCACCCCCCTGCGCGCGAGACCAGCCTCGTGTCAGAACTTTCGACATTCACGTGGCTTCGTGAACATGCACGTCCGTTCTACGATCCTGAGTCTGTTCGAATGCCCAAACCGTACCCTGCGCCGATCCGGCGGCCGGTGGGGCGAGAGGGCACGTGCAGCCAATGTGCCGCCCCTAGCTGCTGGGTGGATGTCCGCGGGGCGCCCGTTTGTGTGTTGGTTTGACCTTTCCTTGGGGTAGAAAGGGGGGCGGACAATGCGGGCCGGCGGCGAGCAGGGGGGGGTCGACCAGAAACCCGATGTGTTGAAACAATTCGGACTCAGCCAGACATGTTCTAAGCACATTTCGTTCAAACCACACAAGGTTCTTAGAACATTCTTCGGTGGGCCAGTAGGCGAGCCAAGACGCTTCGCTACTGCTTGAGAGAAGAAGGAGGCGAGGCTCGATGATCGGGTTTTTTTGGGGGGCGTGTGGGGCACGGCGTCGGGCCTCCAGAAGCCTCTGGGCACCCCTCTCCAGACACCTCCAGGAAGGGGGTGGCGCGAGATTCGGCGGCGAGCCGGGGAGGAGGAGGAGGAGGAGGAGGAGGAGGAGGAGGAGGAGGAGGAGGAGGGGAGGAGGAGAGGAGGAGGAGGAGGAGGAGGAGGAGGAGGAGGAGGAGGGAGGAGGAGGAGGAGGAGGAGGAGGAGGAGGAGGAGTGAGGAGGAGGGAGGAGGAGAGGAGGGAAGAGGAGGAGGAGAGAGGAGGAGGAGGAGGAGGAGGAGGAGGAGGGGGAGGAGGGAGGAGGGAGGAGAAGGAGAGAGGAGGGAGGAGGAGGAGGAGGAGGGAGGAGGAAGGAGGGGGAGGAGGAGGGAGGAGGGAGGAGGAGGGAGGAGGAGGGGAAGGAGGAGGAGGGGAAGTGAGGAGGAACTTCTCTCAGGGCGGCAGGGCGCTTCTGCGGGCTCCAGAGGCACGCGCGGGGCCCAGAGGCGGGCCAGAGGCCGCGTCGACAGGAGAAGCCGGCGGCGAGTTCCTGGCCATCGCTCGGCCGTCCATCCCCTGTGTTTTTTTGAATACACACAGATAAAGAGATTCCCCGTAGTTTCCCATATTTTCTGGGTTTTTGTCTTCCCCCCCACTTCCCATATTTTCCTATATTTCCTGGGGGATCGACGATTCATTGTGTCTGTGTGTTTTTTACCTAACAGCTTTGCTGATAGGTTTCCAGTGGGGTCAAAAGAGAGCAGCAGATGACTCCACAAGGGGGTCGGGGCGGCATCCGGGGAGCTGTGTCCGAACTCGTGTCCGAACTCGTTTTTCGCAAACAGTCACACACTTCGTGCTCTTCGACCTCCCAGAACTCCATTCCCGGGCCACATTCTGAATGCCCGGAGCCAACTGTAGGCCACTTCGTGCTCTTCGACTTCCCAGAACTCCATTCCCGGGCCACATTTTGAATGCCCGGAGCCAACTGTAGGCCACTTCGTGCTCTTCGACTTCCCAGAACTCCATTCCCGGGCC